TAGATATGTACAGAGAGTTCTTAAAAGAAGAAATAAAAATGACTAAGAAATAGCTTTTTTAAGTGCTCAAAATCCTTAGCAATTAGGGAAATACAAATTAAATTACTTACTTGGATAAGATGGAATCATAATAACCAAGATAAGGAAAACAACTGACAATGAACACTGGTAAAAATGTGGGCAAAGTAAACTTGTTCACGCCTGATGTGACTGCAAATTGGTTCAGCCACTATGGAGATCAACGTGGAAATCTTTCAAAAACTACAAGTAGATTTCCCATATGACCCAGCTATTCCACTCTTTGGAATCAGCCTAAAGAAACTGATATCTCATGCACATTTGCTCAGCTATATTGATTGCAGCTCTACTCACAGTAGCTATGAAATGGAAACAACCTGAATGTCCTTCACTTACTGGATTAATAATGAAAATGTGGTACACACACATAGTGAGATTCCTTTCAGCAATAAAGATGCAGTTAAATAGATAGAACTAGAATATATGAAGACTAAGTTAAACCAGATCCAGAAAGACAAATGTACTCTTTTACTTGTGGGTCTTAGATTTAAATAAATAACCTGGAATAAACAAAGAAACCAGGAATGTAAAGGGGGATCATAATAGGCTGGAAAACCTCTAGAGGAAGGTTAGTAGAAAATGGGGGCTATGAGGAGAGAAATAGGAAAATGCGGAGGGCTCTGACTGGGGTAGCAAATGGAGACTACTAAAGAAATCCACTAGTCAAACTATGAGAGAATAATGAACTGAGAGCTGTACAAGCCCCAGGGAATATCAGAGATATTGTAAGAGCCAAAGAAACAGAGTATTTACTTCAAGATCATATCTTCTACATATGGCAGAGCAGCTACGCCCAAGAAATAACAACAGTATGGTTACCCAGGCAAAACCTGTGTAATGACAATATTGGTTCTAATGCCAGTAACAGGGGAGGGGGGGAATCTCACAAGGCACCACCCCTAGAAAAAGAGCTATTGACAACTAATGGCTGCTGAAACAGGGAGAACCAGTTTTCCCAGAGACAATCCCATGATAGATTATTCAGTAGCAAGTTGTCAGCCCCAGACACCCATATACATATTGTAAATAAATTATAATATTTAAAAATTCACAGATAAAAGAACCTAAAGATGAGGAGTAAGCAGATGTTCCCTGCAAATTCAGAGACAATATTAATATAAATGCTAGGATTAGATCAGAAACAGAGACAAGGTAGCAGAGAAGAAAATCCAGCTGAAGACTGGGGATGAAAATTATCAAGGTCGCTAGTGACCTGTGCTTCGCTGTCTGTTGTTTGAAGAACACCATCCTGAAGGTTACTCTCCCTTGCATTAATATGAATCCTGCTTGTCACTGAGCACTGTCCCTATGTGTAGCCATCTAGAGCATCTCAAGAACATGTCATTCTTAAATAGGAGAGGATTGTGTGCAATATTGAGAATGATTGCTCCAGCATATAATGGGATGTCGATGAGAATGCACAACAATGAGAGCACAGCAATGGAAACACTTAACATAGGTGTATTTTACTTTCTAAATTCATCCTCACTGAAAGAACTCAGGATTCTAGGGAAATCCCTATATCCACAACCAGAATTTAGAAAAGTCAAGATGATCTCTTGGACTACTTTGTCGAATCACTAAGAAGAGAAATAGTTCAACAGTAAAGCAATCATTTCCATTAGACATAGGAGCCAGTATGAATGCTGTTTTGTACTCCACATCCAGAATATTTTGTATATCAAATTTATCAACAATATTGATTAATTTAAATAATTGAATAAAATAAGAAACTATGAACCAGTGTCAATATTGATTGAAATAAAAAATAAACAAACACAATAAAGAGAAGCTTTTCTTTCTTTTTTTTTTTTTTTTTGGAGACAGGGTTTCTCTGTGTAGCCTTGGCTCTGGACTTGCTTTGTAGACCAGGCTGGCCTCCAACTCACAGAGATCCACCTGACTCTGTCCCCCTGAGTGCTTGAATTACAAGTGTGCACCACCGTGCCTGGCTGAAAAGCACTTTTTATGGTATAATACCAAATGATGAATACAATAAGACTTAAAGATACTAATTTTACATGTGGAAATAACTTTATAGTGGAGAAAATGGAAGGAAATCTCTTTTTAATGAGATGAACTGATAATATCAACCATATCTGGATAAGCCAATACAACAGAGCTCCGGTGGGGTGCACTGAGGATGTGGTTCATTCCGATGGTGTTTCTGCAAGATGCGCCACATGAGTAAATGTAAAGTCAAGAGCATTCAGCAAAGCATTTGGTCCATATGTTTTCAAATTGCTTGATGCCCAGAAATACAAATGCTGAGAACTGATCCGTACTGAAGAATACTAAAGAGATATACATTAAATGGTGTTGGTTCCTGAGGGGAAGGGAGGTATCAGAAACCGCTCCAGACACCAGAGTATGCACTGCAGTTTGGAGGAAAAGCATTAGCAAAGAACCTTGCCTCAATATAAATTGCACAGAGTGATTGACTTTTTAAAAATGAGTCTGTTATTGCCCTTTATGCATTAAAGAGTGGAATTAACACCCTTTTAATGCTTTTTATATTTAAATAGTGAATACCTACAGGGACCTTATTTTATCTCTGTGCCCTAGAACTTAGAGCAAGGCTCAGTGTTGTCATGTCATAGTACCTATGATGAATGGATGAATTCTCTCTCTTGAAGACAGTCAGATTCCAAGTCAGACTCTACCTGCTTGAAGAGCTTATCTAGTCTCAAAATGCTAAGCACAGTGGCCAGAGCCAAAACCTCTTAATGCAGCAATATATGGCATTTATAATGAATTACACCATATTTATTCTTATAAAGCAAAATTAACAATTTAGAGTAGTAGTCTAATAAACACCTGGCATATGAATGAATGGCCTTTAATTCAGAACATAAGCTGAAAACAAGACAGGGCACCTTCTATCAGTGCCCGCCAGATGCCATCTCAAGTGCTCTTGATTGTAACTATCACTCCAGAGGGTAAAGCTTCATTTTTATTAAAGATAGCTGTATAGTCAGGGGCAAAGAAGTTGGAGAAAATGAAATCCACCTACTGGGGAAGACACACTCTATGATTTCAACAGTTGGTATCACTTTATTGATAACGTCTTAGGAATTTCTTAGCTAAATCCAGTTAATTGTAATTTACCCATCAGTCTATGGTATTCAGTTCTCACAAAAGCAAAGATTACAGATACTGGGGGGATAATGAATCCAAACTAAACTATTTGAGTAATTAAAGAAATGTTTTATTTTTACTTTTTTGTATGTAAATTTTTTTCTATGTTTATAATAAACAAGGACAAATAACAAGTTAGTGTGTTTGGATTAAGTCTGGGGGATTTCTCTTTTATATTTATTTTTATTAGTTCTTTGAAAGTCACACAATGTGTTTTGACCATATTTGGCCCCTCTGCACGATATCCATTTACTTTTCTCTGCCCACCCAACTTTGTGTCCTCCTTTGTTTTGTTTTGTTTTGTGAGTCCTTCAAGGCCAGTTTATGCTGCCCAAATATTCTTGGATGTAGTGTCTTCCTCTGCTGTGTGGCCAACTGACCACTAGACACTCTAGAGGAAACTTTCTCTCCTTTCTCGGCAGCTGATAATTATCAATATCCTTACAGCTGTGGTGAGATTTTTACGGATCCTGGCTACATGCTGAGATTTTCTTCGACTTGGCCTTACCTGGTGTTATGCATTCTGTCACAGCCACTGTGAATTCATATGCACGTCTTCCCTGCTCTGTCCATAAGACACAGTTTCCATATAGTCATCAGCTGGCTCATCATTTGCTCTGTCTCCTCTTCTGCAATGGTCCTCGAGCCTTGGACGGAGGAGATGCGGTGTGTGTGTTCCCTCCTGGGTAAGCATCCTGTGGTCTCTTATTCTCTGCACTTTGCCAGTTGGGGGTGTTTGTATTAATCGCTATCTACTGCAAGTTCAAGTTCCAAGATGTTGAGAGATACATTGATCTGTGGGTATAACTATATCATTAGCACTTGATTAAATACTAAATCCACTCAGTAAAATAATAGGAGGTTCTCCTCCAGGGTTTTTGCCCAATAATAGTGCCTGGTATGAGTTTCACCCTGTGGAATGGAACTTAAATCCAATAAGAAAGTTGATCTTACCTCGTTGATGTTTATACAACCTTTGCACTCATAGACATGTTTTATGCACACACAAAGAGTTAAAATAGGGCAACAATGGCCCTCCTGGGCACCAGAGGCTACCAAATAAAAAGTCAAATGTAAGGGCTGGGTTACTTATTTTGGAGTTCCCAGCCAGTGAAGACCTGTAGACCACCAACTTTATGGCTACTACTACCGTTGCTCTTGGTTACCCTCCAGAACCCCATTACTGAAGATACCGTATACTTGGCTCATAGAACATGAAGAAATCAAGCTGGAACTGACCTGGAAGCTTCACCCCTACTGGCTAGCTTCCTCACTGCTGGAAGGTACTATGCACAATCCTGAAGGAGAAAAGTTATCATCAGTTACAGATCACACATAAACTTTAGTTTAAATCAGCCATTAGAGGTTTAAAATGCTTGATACATTCAAGAGCATACAAAACACAGCAAAAATAAAAGACCAGAACAAGAAGATGCATGCTGAATGAGACAGATTTATTGGGAGACTAACAGTAAGACCCTGCCCACACACCCGAACTGGGAACACATTTAGGTTGATGGAGTTTAATATATGAGAAGAACAACCTTGGAGGTAAGCTACCTCCTGCACGGCTGGATTTCAGTCCCTTGTTAAAAAGTGTCTTGTTTCTCTCGGCTGTAGATGAGTTTCAGCGTGGCACTGATGTCCTGCTCAGCATCACTGATGAACCAGACCTCAGTATCTTCCAAACACATGGGAGGGTGGAAGGCAGACACTGCTTTTCAGGTTGTTCCTTTTGAAGGTAACTGGTGGAGGGTCCTGTGGTCTTCAGAGCCATCAGTCCATCAGTAGGTGCTGTAGCCAAAGCCAGAGCCAGAGCCCCATGGCCTGTAAAAGCTGCTGCCATAGCAACAGCCTGGATTGTTGAAGTTACTAACACCTCCATAACAGAAGTTGCGGGAGCTGTAGATGGTTCCACAGCCGTGGTTCAGGGGAGAACCCAGAGGCACAACACAGTTCAGGGGGGTAGCTCTGTAGGTCCCATGGAAGTTGGTTCCATAGCAAGGATACCCTGGGAAGTAGTTTCCACAGCAGAAAAAGCGAGTCATGGTGGTAGATGTGGAGGGAGATCTGGATAGACTGTGAAGAACAAGTCAGGCAAGTGTGAATGGAGCATCTCTTCCACAGTCGACCTTTTATACCTTGAGCTGCTGGCCATGACACACCAGTCCCTGCACACCTTACCACAAATTTGCATAAATAAGCCTATTATTTTCCAATAAAATGTGCATAAAGACCCAGCATACTCTGCCCACATTTTTGTTGGCTTTTCTGTTTACAAAGGAATGTGAGCTACCTTCAAAGCCAGTGAGCATCCCTGACATGCCACTGAATTCTTTTCATCAGTGCCCCTTTAACTACTGTCCTCATTGCAACATTGCGTCATCCAAGGCTCTAAGTCTTTTGCTTATAAACCCCTCCCAGTTGACATCACTAGGCTAAAACAGCTTTAACAAAAATATAAGCACCCAAACCAACACTTACACTCTCTGAAATCTCTGAGTCTTGGCTAAAATCATTCTAAAACATTAGACAAACATTATAAACCTCATGAAGTTAGCTTCTTGCATCACTCCAAAATACTGGCACTTGGGAGCAGGGTTTCATTTGGTGGTGGAGAACATCAGTTAGAATCAGGTAAAAGAAGTAGCTGCAGATTGGTATGAATATATTAGATGCCACTGAATGGCTGGCTGGCTTTTAAACAGCTTGGTTTGTTTTACATAAATTCATCTCAATACTTTTTTTCATTTTCAGCAGCATTACCATAAAAAAATCATCGGAACAATTCTTTTAAAAGACATGACGTTGGAAAGGATATAGGAAATACATGTTGGGGGGGGCGAGAAGCTGGAGGAAGAAACACATGTATAAACTTTTTAATTAAAACTGAACAAATGCTTTCATAGAGACTGTAAGGGCACCACATAAGATAGCTAAGAAAAGTCTACCAGCAGTTTCCATCTGTCTCTTTTATGAGCATCTTTCTTGTTAACACATATTTTATTTTTTTATGGCAAACATACAGCCTTTACTTGTAGATCATCTTAAACGTTACCAAACTATCTTGTTGTGGTAGTGATTTGCTGGAGCTAAATGGAGCGATGCCCATTTCAAAGTCAGGTTGTACCACATTTGCTTCTCTGTGTTTGCTAGTAAACCGAGCCTGAGCACCATGACCCAGTTAAAAAATACAAGTTATATTTCAGGGTGCGGAATGCTCTCTTCTGCTCCCCACTGCATTATGTGCAAATCATTCTTTGTCGTGAGGGGAATCATACGAAATTTGTGTTTGAAATGTTAAATCTGTACCAATTAAACAGTTAATAAGCAGCCAATCTCCTGCATGAATAAAAGTCTGTATTCATTAAAGGGAAAGTTTCAAAGCTGCTGGGTCTAACCAGGCCTTTTAGTGCGTACCTAGTAGGCCAGCACTGCCGAGTTCAAAGCCAGCCTGGGCAAGAGTGAGACCCTGTACAAAACACAATGTTCTGTGGGCATAGATTTAGCTTTTATTGGACAACCATGGGATCCAATAGGCAAAATGAGTTTTTCCACCAGAACTGATTTACTGAGATTCTTTCTTGGGTTCTATGAAGAAGGAAAAAAAAAAAAGAGCTATCTACAGAACAAGTGGATATTGCTTCATAAAATTATTATAGTTTTTGAACATTTGTATTTACAGAATATAAGAAACAAAACTGGGAGCTGAAGAGATAGCTCAGTGGTTAAGAGCACTGGCTGCTTGTCCAGAGGTCCCGGGTTCAGTTTCCAGCACCCACATGGCAGCTGATACCTATCTGTAACTCCAGCAGGCAAAACAAATAAAAAAATAAATAAAATAAGTTTAAAAATGAAAAAGAAACAAAATTATCTTCAAATTATTTTTAGGAAAAAGAGTAAATTAATAATATATATTTACCATTTTAGCTCATTCAATTATATATAATATACAAATATATGTTATCTCACACAGACCTAGACTGAAACCAAATGCTATTGTGTTGTTAAAGGAACATATCAATAAATGAGACCGCACGACACTCTTACTGTGAATAAGAGTCTCACTCAGCCATCCTAGAGAAGCTTCCTCCACAGCAGCTGGAGTTAATACCCACAACTGAACAATGTGAAGAGTGAGAGACCTTGGAACCACAGTCCTCAGTGGAGCGTCTTCATCAGACCCCTCCCTCCCACTCAGGGCTCAGGGAACCCTGCTGAAAACAGAGTGACAAAAGTGTAAGAGCCAGAGGGCAGGGAGGACACGAAGAAGACAAGGCCCTCTAAATACACAAGATCGATATACAAATGATCTCAGAGAGACTGAAGCGGTGTGTGCACAGGGCCTGCACGGACCCGAGCCAGATGGGGTCCCAGCACTGAGAGGGGGAGGTGGACACAAGCCCCCATCCCTAACCAAGAAGCTATCACCAACTGACAACTGCTTACAAAGAATCGTGCCTAAAGCAAGCCTCATGCCCAGCGGCAGACGGTCAGTGCAGGTGAACTCAGTGGTATGTTTGGAGGTTTTTGTGTCTCATAATGCTTTGTCTGGACATTTTTTACCTTACTGACCTTTTGCCTATATATTATGACATTCAATTTTGTGTTGTTGTTGTTGTTGTTGTTGTTGTTGTGTGTATGATGTGTATGTATGTATGTGTGTGTTTCTCACACTTTGTGTTTAGTTTGTTTTTGTTTGTTTTGTTTTATTCTGCTTTGTTTGTTTAATTTTTTTTTATTTGCCAGTTTGTTTTTCAAAGAGAGAAAGAAGGCATCGAGTTAGAAGTATAGAGAGATGGGGAGGATCTTGAAGGAAATGAGATGAGAAAAACCATGGTCTGAATACACTGGGTAAAAAAAAAAAAAAAAAAAATCATTTTCAATAAAAATAAATAAATAAAATTTAGAAACAGAAACAAGTTATATTTGCCTTAAGGATGAGAATTATATGGACTTTACATAAGATAACACAGGAAACTTGAGACATGTTTGTGAGGAAGCAAAGGCAGTACTGACTGAAAATGAATGGTGGCTGTTGAGAAGTTCCTTCTGCCAGATCATTGGAACCTGCAACTCAGATATGTTGCCACAAGATGACAGTGGCATTTCGTTTACAGAGTCTGTACTTGGGGTTGGGGTTCTCCAACGGAAACAGGTGAAGAACCTCCCAAGGCGTATGTTGCCATTTCATGATTCCAGGAGCTCTTCTCTCCTGCAACCAGCGTGATTTTTTTTATTCACTTTACATCCTTGTTGTAGCCATCTTCCTCCCATCCCAGTCTCACAGTTCCTTTCTCCATCCTCCTCCCTTTCTTTTTCCTCAGAAAAGAGGAGCTCCCTTTCCCATCCACCCCAGCATCAGGACTGAGCATGTCCTCTTCCTTTGTGGCCTAGCAAGGCAGTCCTGCCAAGGGGAAGTGATAAAAAAGCTGCCAAGTGAGTCCATGTCTGATACAATCCCCACTTCCCTTACTAGAGGACCCACATGAGGCCTAAGCTGTCCATCTGCTACATCTTTGTAGGGGATCTAAGTCCAGTTCATGCATGGTCCTAGGTTAATGCTTCAGTCTCAGAAAGCCCTTCTGGGTCCTGGGTAGTTGGCTCTGTTGTTTCTCTTGTGGAGCTTCTGTCATCTCCAGGTACTTTTCTCTTTCCTCCCACTTTTCCACAAGACTCCATAGGCATCATCCAATGTTTGGCTGTGAATCTCAGCATCTGTTTTAAGGCGCTGCCTCTCAGAGGACAACTCTGACTGCAAGCTTAGCAGAGTATTATTAATAGTGTCTGGCTTGGCACTCTCCAATAGGGTGGGTTTTTGGTTGGGCTAGGCATTGGCTGGACATTCCCTCAATCTCTGTTTTATCTGATTCTGTAGGTAGGCTGGTGTTCCCTCCCTAGGCTAGGACACTAGTGTAGATAGAGGTGTCCTCTTCAATATTGTTCTTGTACCTCCCATGATTTTCATGAATAAAACCATTGTCATAAACCCCAGGGTCAGTGAGACATGTTAAGCAAGCATCCTTGTTTGGTCACTGTGTGAGACGCCCTGAGCCACTTATCTCACAGGGGGAGGAATGTTCCACAGGTGTTGCATGAATCCTGTTTCTGTCAACTCTGGGAGATAGAGATAAGCAATGGAAATGCCTTGTTTCTCTTATCCATTCCCTGTGCTCTCTGCTTCCTGTCCAGTTGGAAATGGGGGGTAAACTGAGAAGAGCCCAGTAATCTCCAGGGAGAAAAATCTCCCTGACCAACCTGTTAGTTAACCCAACTAAAAAGAAAAAGATCCATTTCTCCCATTTGCTTTTTTCCTGTGTCCTCTTAGACGTTCCTGGAGCAAACTCTCAGCCAAATATTTTATTATTATTCAATATTTGGTTTTTATTTTAAATATCAGTAATAATGAATATTCATGAAGAGCTAATTCTGTGTTAAGCTCTACTCTACACAGTCCATGTAAGATTTATTTATATATTTTCCAAGTAAAATGCTAAGTGATAAATTAATGAGATGTACCATGAATTTTGCAAACACTAATTTATTTAATTTTTACAGTGAAGCTATGATGTGAGTATTATGGTATTTTATATGAAAACCAGTTCCAGAAAAATTGAAGAGACTTGCCTGAGGCGACATACTTACCACTCAGCAGAATCAAACTTCAAACCCAAGTGATCTATTCTACAGCATAATCCTAGCAGCTTCCCTATGCTGCATTTGCGACGTCATTAAAACTTTAAAAGGGGCAGCTTGAAAAGCGCTTCAGATATACAAACCATTGTGCTGTTTTGAACACACCAGCCAGTAAAGGCTCCTTTTGGATGTAGGAGCAAGCCACCCCAAGTCATCATGCTTTCAAATCCACATCACTCCTCTTTCTCTGGCTGGCAAGCGTCTCTGGAGCACATGATTATTATCCAAGACTTAAGGTGGAGTAGAGCCTTCATGAGCTGAAGGCAGGCAGGGAATGCTGCCACAAACATCACTACCCAGTTCCTGACGAGTTTCTGCGAACACCGAGCACCGTTTCCGTCCTCTTCTCATT